AGCAGAAGGATTTAGGAAGAATTTAGCATTTTCGATAACCGACCCCCTTACCAAATGTCTACAAGAAAAATTTTGTTTTTAAATCAACCCGATTGTTTAGCTTCTTTAAACTTGCACATTATTGATTGAATTTAATGAACTATCCAACTGCATACTCGAAAAAATTCTAAATCGAAATAAAAAGTTGAAAATCTAGCTGAAGCTTTGCAGATTGTTATAATTTTTGCGCAAAGTTTGAAATGTGGATTTATATTTTGTTTGTTATATAATGAGCTTGGCTCAAATGGAAAAATAATAAACATTAAATAAACAAAACAGAATAAGCGAAACTCGATCAAAATAGTGATGACTTAATCAGCTGATAACAAGTGTATGTATAAAATGATTTTTATATTAACGATCTCAAACTAGTTTACAATGAATTTTAAATGTGCTCTGTCAAAATGACATTTTACCTTACGTACATTTGTACCTTTGTATATAATACAAGTTTAATAAGAATAATTTTTTCTACATTCATTTGAATAAGACGTTTTTGGGTAGGAAATGACGTTTTTTCACACCAAGAGGGGCGTTTTCTCATGCCGAAGACCTGGCAACACTGGCTATGACATGTCCAGGCTTGTTTGTCTCAGTTTCAGTTTTGCCATCGCCGCGAGTTGTTTCGGTGTGCGCATAGTTATTTAAAATTATAAAGTTTGATGCCAACCGGGGTTCCTCGAGTGGATATATAATTCATGATAATTATAATTTGAAAGTATCTATTTAGCCAAGGAAAAAGCAAAGCAGTATACTTAAACCAGCACTTCTAGCTAGGGTTACCAGATTCTGAAACAGAGAAAGGAGTACATTTCTATTTTCGATAGAAAAAAGCAGTACAGAACTTAAAAAAGGAGTAGAATTTTTGTTTTAATTTTTTTGTGCAATTTATTGTTATAAATTACCATTATTTAGGTACAAACAAACACGCATATCATAGAAATCTTTTTCAAAGCAACAATAAATGTTAAAAATAAATAACTAAATTCTAAAAAAGAATTCCAGGCTATTCCTGAATGTATGGCAATTTTATTATTTTATAACTTATCTTATTTTTATACCCCAGCGCCCTGCACCTACCTGCCTACGACCATGCTTACACCTTTTCACTATCACACTTAACTTTACTTACTAAGTAGTGTTCGCCACAATATGAATGGCAAAGTACAGGGCGTAAAATAATAACTGTCGCAAAGGTTTTTCGAAAAATAAAAGAGTCCTTTAAAGATTTTGCGAAAAAAAGTATTATTTGCTAACTTTATAAATAGTTAACTTTAATTTTATTAATTAGTTTTAAAACTTTAATCCTTATTTCCATTTGCCAGCTTTGGGAGATAAGTACATGCTTTTTTTCAGGTGTATTTTTTCTTAGATTTTGTATAAAAACAAAAAGAAAATGTATAGGTATAGGGTTGGTCGAATGAATGGCCTCCTAGTCACCAGTTCCGAGTCTTTTGGATTGCTGAGTATGAGGCCCTATGTTGGACAAAAGACGGAGTATAAAGGAGCCAAATGAAGGAAGTTAGCCTATGGTTACAGAAGATATCGTCACTACAAACGAATAAAGGCGCGCTAGTGTTTTGACGGCGAAAAAAAATTTTTCGAAAAAATATGGTTATGAAAAACTTCGGCGAAGTATGTTAAGAGTCTTTGACGCTGAAGTTTTTTTATGCGTCTTTTTTCGCCGTCATTTTTTGAGCTTGCGCCTTTATTCGTGTCTAGTGACGATATGTAATAAAGTAACCGACGAAGACTTGCGTGCCGCTTGAGCTTTTCTCTCAAAGTGTTTACCGCTGGTAAACGCAAATGAAGGTTAAAATTTAAAAACTTATTAATAAAATTTAAGTAAAATCTGTGGATAATTAACAATTAACTACTTTTTTCGCAAAATCTATAAAGTTCCCTTTTATTTTTCAATAAAATCTGTGCAACAGTTTTTATTTTACGCCCTGTATATGATAAAATATTAATAGCTGGAAAAATGAGTACAAAAGAAGTACAAAACTAAGAAAGAAGTACATTTCCAGATATTTTTTTTGGGAGTACAAGGGAGTACATTACAATAAAAAGGAGTACGTTTACTCCCAAAAGCAGTACGTCTGGCAACCCTACTTCCAGCAGATATTGAACTGGGGTTTCGCACGACTATTCCTGTTTCATCGTTTCTTTTTAGGAAATTCTTACCACCATATACATATGTATTATTTACACTAGTAACTATTTATGTAAATGTATGTATTTTTTATGCTTGATAAAGAAAAAAAACACATTGTTAAAAAGTCTATGTTCTCTTTGACGTACGTCAAAGGTCAAGTAGAAGTTGGAACTTGTATGGCTGCCATTGATAGCTCGGATATAAAGTTTAAGAAAGACATTTTTATCAAAGTTGATAAATATGACATTTGACCAGTTTTGTTACACAAATACTCCCACGCCCACAATTTGTCATTTTATTTGTCAGATATACGCTTAATAAGTGCACTTGCACAACATTCGCATTCGCAAAAGCTACGCATTGATTATTGCGAATGCGAATGTTGAAATTAATGCAGAAGCTTCGCGGTTGCGAATGCGAATGCGAATATTCGCAACAACCCTGGTACAAATTGATAAATCTGTTACCGAGATATACATTTGTGGTCAAAAGTGCGCAGCGCCACGCGCATTATCCAAAAAAACATTATGATTTCATTTAATGCTAAGAGGTTATTCCAAGAATCGATTTAAAGTGAATTAGCTTCAGTAGTTATTGATTAATCGCAGTTTTCGCGTTTCTGTAAATTACCCTTATATGGGAAGTGGGCGTGGTTATCGCCCGATTTCAAGAATTTTTGGCAGTTATGTTAGATATAGCCTAAGCAAGGCTCATACGGTACGGTTTGGTACGGATTAGTGAAGCGGATACTGAGATACAACATTTCATCATAAGTGGGCGAGGGGCCACACCCATTTTCTAAAATTTAATAATAATCCTATTTTGTTCCAAAATTTTACTTTACATACTAATTTTTAACAATTTGGATACAACATTTACTGAAATATCGTAGACTTATCTAAATTGACACTTATCTAAATATATAATAATCTTTAATCATCACTTATATAACACCAATGTAAAGGAAAACAAATATTTATTCCGAAATATATAACATAGTTGGGCTCGCCTTACATTCCCGCAGATTTCTAGCAACAGGACCGAAAGGCCCGAGAGAACATGACTTTTGCTAATATCTCGAAAACTATTTATTTGTTAAATTAAATGGATTCATTTTCTAGTTCCGCGGCCTCAAATTCATCTAATAGGTGTAATTTTAGTGTTAAAATAGATCTAAAGTAGTGTTACTATATACTAGTTGCGTTTTTAAATTTTTCCTTAATACATTTTCTAAGTTAAGAAATACCACTTATCTGCCATTCTGCGGGAAGTCTTTTCACACTATATTAATAACGCTATAGAATATTAACGCGATCTCTTCCGGGGATACAACAAATTCCTTAATATTCACAAAAATTAACAAAAACATACTCGTTGAAACCCGCTATTTTCGTTACATTTAAATTGAACTTTTGCTTAATAAAATGATTAAAAAAATGTATTCTTAAATGCATAATTACCTCCTGTATGCGGATCCATCACTACTTTTTAAGAATATAATGCAGAAATCAAAATATTAACTCAAAACCCGTCACGATCTTTCTAGAGAGCGAAAATTTATTTATAAGCAGCGTTAGATTATTCTGTTTCCGGTCAACGGTGAACGTTCGCTGTGCAAGTTAAAAAAGCGAGGGGGACTGGGAAATGTTATTTGACTAATTTTTTAAGTTTTTTCCAAAATTTGGTTAAATTGGTTTTTGGCCGCCTAAATCGTTGAAATACCCCTATGTGCGATTTGAGTTGTTGTTTTCAAGCTGAAAGAATAAAAGAAAACACGGAACTTAATCATAATAAGTTTTATGAGAAAAAATAATAATTACACTTATCTAAGAAAAAGTGGAAGAAGGACTAGCGATGCAAGCAGTTTTTTCAACAGACCATTGACAAATAATATTCGATCGTTACATAATTCATACCTAATTAAAGGTTATCTGGAAATACCTGTTGAAGGATCTTACTCTTTGACTTTAAATTACAAAAGAAGAGGGACACAGGGGAACCGTTTTAACATAGCATCTCCACAGGCAAAAAATGTTGGCTACAATTTGTCATTTTGTTTGTACGTTTTATTAGTGCACTTGCACAATATTCGCATTCGCGAAAGCTCCGCATTGATTATTGCGAATGCGAATGTTAAAATTAATGCGGAAGCTCCGCGGTTGCGAATGCGAATGCGAATATTCGCAACCACCCTGGTCAAGAGACTACAAAAAAAAATACAATTTTCATATCTGAATACTAATAAACTTTAGTTCCAAAAAAAAATTACTGGGTGAGCTCGAGCTAAGAAATACTACCGCAAAATTGCAGCCTCGTTGCTTTCTTGATGATATCTTGCTGATGCTCAGCTGAAAATCTTCTGAAATGCTCCAAAAATTGTGCAGTAAAAATTTGTATGTTGCTTTTGATTTGCCAATGTTGAGCAACTGATTTAAAATTTTGTTCCTCGAACGCTTGGTGTAGGCAGAGTCGCGGAAAATTTTCGCGGTGAACATGATGATCTTTCAATAAAAAAAAGTAACACTACCGCATTATTTGCAGCTCGAATACACCGTTTGAAGATGTGAAATCGGAAACTAGATTAAAAAAGTCTTAATATATTGCGAATATATCGGTTTAGCTCCTCAGTGTACATATCTTAGAAAAAATCGTCACTTTCGTTCCTAATTTTTTTGTAATGTACATAGAAAAAAATCAAATAAGTTATTGTGTGTCCTTATTTATTTTTTACACATTATATAAAATACTTTCTTTTTAAACGTCCGCATGCCTACATACATATGTAATTATACAATTGATTTTGCAGACTATTTGAAGTGTGCCAAGTTCTTGAACGCGAGGATCAACTGATGGTGCTTTTAGTTTTTGAACACTTGGAGCAGGATCTTTCGGATTTAATCGACAGACTACCAAAATCCGGAATGCCGCCAATAACGATTCAGGTAAATCATGATTTTAAATTATATTAGCATATATAACAAGTTGCTGCTAGGCTATTAACTTAATAACACGGTGCTACAAAAAAAGTTATAAAATACACCCGAAACAAAACCTAGTGTAGGTTGTAGCTATGGTCGAGTACTACATGGAAATAGGTTCCGTACACTGACCCAAAAGCGCAATGTTTTTTTTTCAGCCAAGTTTGATTTTTTAATGGTAAATACACTGATTGTAAGAAATGTGATTCAAGTTGAACATTGGATAGTGCACTTCGTCGCCTAGGTAAAATATTGTCGTATGTTAATTTTAGCAGGTTTTGGGAAATCGCGATTGATCCCATGGACCAACATCACTACTTAAGGGTTATCAAAAACAGAGAATCTATGTATATGCTTATTTGCACAACGAAAAACAAACGCCTAAACTACACAAAATCATTGCGCAACCCGAGACTGGTACAAATCAATATTGTGGAAATTACTACACAATAAAATTGCGCAAACCTTATTTTGGAGAAACTTTGCTCAAGTAAATATGTGCAAGAAAAATGAATGTGCGTTGTATATTTTGATAGCTCCAACCTTAAAACATAAAAAAGAGTATTAAAAAATTTATTTTTTCTATGCTCCTATCCATATTTTACAGAACGATCTGGACACCAAAGTCAAAACTAGACTAAAAGCTGCGCAGTTGTTTCCATACGCAACACAAATTATTTTACAATAATACAAGCATGAGCAAAAATCAAAATGATTTAGATTTAGAAAATTTTAAGACTTTAAATAACAAGAAAAAAATTATTATATAGTTAATATTATTCATAGTTTTCAAAAATTAATTTCTACCAGCCAAAAGTAACAGAATTCTTAAAATATAGAACAAAAAAGTATCAAAAATGATACAATTGTATCAAAACGGCAACGCTGGTCGTAACCAAGAACAAAAAAATAGCCGAAAAGTTTTTGAGTACCAAATCTCTCCCAGGCATTTGCCCGATTACATCCACCTACCAAGTGAATCTCAACTGTGTTAAAGGTACAATATTTGCACCTTTCCTTATCAATGTAAGCGATGAAGAAATCGTTGAAGGTTTGCAAACCTACGGTGTGACTTCAGTTTACGAATTAAAAAAAATAATAATAATAAACATTTTAACTCCAATTGGCGCACTCCTTTTCACATTCGATAGCTTCTGTGGCTGAGTGGACACTCCGTAGGACCTTGGCCTGATCGCTGGACTGGGCATCTTCTCAATTATAAAAAAGTGTTTTCAAAAAGCGGTCACCCTTCGGCAGGCTATGGCAAACCTTCGAGTGTATTTCCGCCATGAGAAAGCTTCTCAAAAGTTCATTAAATCCATTTGCAGTTCGGAGGCGGGATAAAGCTGTTTGTCCCTTCATTTCTGAATATCTTAACGCTACACTGAGGGGAAAAAGTATTAAAATCAATCAGAAATGTAATCGATCACACAGGGGAATTAAATTAATTTCATTTTTAACCGACTTCAAAAAAGAAGGAGGTTATCAACTCGTCGGAATATATTTTATTTTTATTTTATGTATGTAACGGCACCAAACCAACCAAAAAACACACCTACCAAAAACCGTACCAAAAAAATGCACCAAATGGTAAAAAATTCACCAATTTTTATTACATCGGGAAATTGGGTGGAGTTTATCAAAAAAATATGCTAATTCAGTTCTTATAACGATTTTTTTTATATTGCATCCAAAGTGCATTACAATTGTATATTATTAACATTATATTATTTAAAGTTTTAAATTGCAATTTGTTTTCTTAATTTCGTTTTTATTAATGCTAAATCAGTAAAAAATGGGCTCAGCTGCTGCAGAACTGTGAGGCAGACTAAAAATGTTATGAACTAAATCACACAATTCTCCAAAAGCCGTTTCACCTAATCCATTTTTAATCAAACTTACTTAATCTCAAAAACGTTCCATATTGTTACAGTTTTTGAAGTTACCTTCACTCAGCCTCAGTTTGCGAAATTGAAATTCAATTATGTCTGCATCATTTACCAATGCAGATTTCGAAAAACTGCCGCTGCCACTAGGGTTGCCAGCATTTTCTTAGAAATATATTGTACTTTTTCAAAAAAAAACTGAAAAAATATAGTACACGTCAAATATATGTATATAGTATTTTTTTTATACCCGAGCGCACTTGCTCACAAGGGTATTATAACTTTGTTCACATAACGGTTGTTTGTAACAGGCAAAAAGAATCGAGATAGATATAGACAAATGTATACATAAATGATCAGAATGAAAAGAAAAATCGATTAAGCGGTGACTGTCTGTCCGTCCGTCCGTCTGTGCACACGATAACTCGAGTAAAAATTGAGATATCTTAACGAAACTTCGTACGTGAACTTCTTTTGGGCGTAGGACGGATGGTATTGAAAATGGGCGAAATCGGACAATAACCACGCCTACCTCCCATATAACGGTAATTTTCAGAAATACGAAAACTGCGATATTTTAGTAACTACTGAAGATTATTCACTCAAAATTGATATTTACAATAATTTTTAGACGAAAAATAAGAACATTATAAATTTTTGAAAAATGGGCGCAGCCACGCCCACTTATGGTTACATGTGTATATCTTGGCAACTTCTCCACCGATTTCTTCCAGACTTGGCACAGTTGTTGGTCCTGGTACAGCATACCAAATGGCTGAAAATTTTTAAAATCGGACAATAACCACGCCCACATCCCATATAACGGTAATTTCGAGAAATACAAAATCTTCGATAAATCAGTAAATATTAAAGCTAATTTATTCAAAATTGGTGGTTGCAACAATTATTTACCAAGAAATATGTTTATGATAAAATTTTGGAAAATGGGCGTGGCACCGCCCACTTGTGATCACATATACATATGTATCTCGCTAACCGTTCTAGCAATTTGTACCAAACTCGGTAAGGTTATTGTGCTTGCCACATAAAAGCAAAACTTTAAAAATTATTGAAATCGGACTAAAATTACGGCCGCTTTTCATATAACGGTAAATTTCAAAAATGCTTGAAACTGCAATATTTCGAAATTTAAGGACGCTAATTTACTCAACATTGATACACCCCCGCTTACCATCTAGCGGTAGGTTTCGGAAAGGTGAAAATCATATATTTAATACTTGCGTCGGGTATTTAATGTTCGGCTCCGCCCGAACTTGACTTTCTTACTTGTTTTAAAGTAAAAATGATTTTTTAGTGTACATCTGTTTTCTTGCTTATGCATTTCGTCTATAAAAAATATATTTCTGTGTAAGTATTATATGCTTTATCGCTATCAATATTTAAATTAATATAAATCAAAAGTTAATTTTTTATTAGTGAGATATTCGCTTTATTTCTCTCATCTCACCATTTCCAAATCTTAATAGAAAAACTCTTTCTGTGAATGCCGAAGTTGCAGGAATAGAGAGCATAGCGAAATAATTTTAAGTAAATTTGGTAAATCTTTCTAAGTATTTTAAAAAATGTTGCCATTTTTGATCTGTAGACCCTTTGTTTTATAATTGAAGAAATATAGTATTTTTGCATACTATATTTTTTTCCAACAGTATATAGTACGCAGACCCAAAAAATAGTATATATTATAGTACGGTTGGCAACCCTGGCTGCCACTGCGTTATTGTATTTTGGGCTTTAGTTCTTTCAAATCACTGCTTCGCGATAATCCAATGAGGGTATTTCCTAAAAATTTTAAAATGTACTTAGTGGCACTGTGTTACTATAATAGCACAGCCTAGTAATCATAGTCCACTTATGTACAGTGGTCGAAAAAATTACAGCTGCACCAAATTTTGAATGCTTTTTATTGTTTTTTAATTTTTGTCGTTGTTTAATTTTGGTCAGCTTTTTATAAAAATATAGTTCATTCTTTAGAAACAGCCGTGTATGTACATAAATATAAGTTTAAAGGTAGCGTCACACGATTAGGCATTTGGCCAAAATTTCGTATGAATGCATAAATATTTTTCTTTATCCTATCACGATAAATAATGTGTTCAAATTTTTCAACTTTTTTTTTTACAAAAAAAATTATCGTCCCTATTTGTTCCAATAGCCCAATATAAAAATGTAAATGTAAAACTTTGTGCAATATCAAAAGAAAAAAAATTAAAAAATAGAACTAATTAATTTCCTAGAAAGATTCTGAGTGTGCAGTTTTGTAGCACATTGAATTCTAGTAGAATAAAGTCCAAGTTTCAAATGACTTGGAACCTGGGATTTACACGGGTTTTGCTAAAGAATGAACTATATTTTTATAAAAATAAAAAAAAAATAACTAAAATTAAATAACTAAAAAAAATAATATGTTAAAACGTGGCTAAAAGTGGTTCGGCTATAATTTTTTGACCACTGTATGTATTTTTTTTTATATAATTAATCAGACGTGCACATTGTACATAGAGGTATGTATGTATGTACATAACAAAATTAAAAAAATAAATGCCTTTTTGGCTTTTTTCATGGTTCATTTTGCCCTTTTTCAAGTTTTTAGTGCCTCAAAATCCTGACCCTGATCATCATATATAAAATGGAATATTTAAAACACATTTTGTTTTAGAGAAGTTCAGTTTTATTATGCTTCGCAAATTCCTTTCTTAATTTTTTTACATAATTAATTCGATACCTAAAATTTAGTACTTTCGAAATCATCTTTAGTTCTTAAACTACAAGAGTGTGCTGGAATTTGTAGTTTATTTATTGTTTTATTCAAATTCATTCTTTCCACATTTGCAGTGGCGACTGGAATCCAAAGAACAGCTGAAAACAATTGTTTCATACGAGGAAACGCGCTTTCTTCTTTTGTCTTAAAAGTTGACTTACAAGAAAAACGAAACGAAATTTTACGTTTTTCGTTCAAGTCGGAAATTTCGAAAAACTGTAATGTGTACTAAGAGGTAATTTAAACAACTGTAATCTTGTCTAAAAAACTGTTAAAACTATGAATCTGGCAGCATTGAT